CACACCTCAAATCTACATGTTAGAAGACACTTTAGATATCAGCTAACCCAAGTAGTGAAGAGAATAAGGTCAAAAGACAAAGTAACTTGCCACTGTCCTGTGACATGTTCATGCCAAGCTGAACCAAGAAATCAGTCTCCTTACTCCAGTGTTCTCACCTCTGCAGTCACATCCTCGTGGACACACTGCCTTATCTTCATGGTCGTTCTTCCGCATCCTCATGGACGCTCTGCTGATCTGCTTTCACAGCAGAGGTTGCTGAAGCAACTTCACAGTTCATAAAAGGAGTTTATTTTATAAAGTACATGCAAAAATAAATTGCCTTTGATTTGCCTCATGGGTAAGAGTATGAAAGAATAGAAAGGCCACAGAGAAATTTCCCAGTGAATCTGATCCATAAAGCTAATAAGTTCAACTGAGAGCTAGCCAACCAGGATGGCTCTGGGATAAAGTTGAAAAGCCACTGAATTGATACAAATTTAAGTTACCAAATGATGAACAATAGTCTATCATGGATGTTTATATCAAGCTTGATTTGATTTTACTTATGGAAATAGAATCTCAATCTTACGATCTTCCTGCCCCAACCTACCTGAATGCTGAGATTATATCCCATCTGGCCTTTGACCTTTCTCTTTTCCAGTGCTGAGAATCAAACCTAGGGTCTTGTTGAACATGCTATCTACAACTGACCTACATCCAAACCTCTTTACATCTTAAATAATATTCTAAATAATGTCAGAAACAACAAGATAATGCTAGTTTGTTCAGATATTTTTTTTTATCACATGCTTTACTGAAAATAAGTTGTTTTGAGAATGACATGGATAAGAGTACTGAGCTGGACCTTGTTTGCTGGCAAGAATGTAAGCCAGCAGATGCGAAGGGTGCCAGGTAACCCACTGGGCACCTCTGTGGGAAATCCTCTGATTTCCTTTCAAGATATTTAGGTCAGTGATGCTCAACAGGTATTATTTTGACCCCATAGATATTGTTGGTATCTGTAGCTATTGCTCATTGTCACAGCTCAGGTTGGGGGAGGGTTGCTCTGGCTACTGAGTGAGGCCAGGGATGCTAAGCACCCTATAGTGACAGGACAGCCCCTTGCACTGAAGAAAATCCCACCTAAAATGTCAGTGGTGCTGAAGTTGAGACTCCTAGCTTAATGAAGCAATGTACATACAAAAAAGAAATGGGAAAATCCACGGTGTGCCTTTGGTCAGTAGCAAACACTCTGCCTGCAGCTGCATCCTATAAAAGATACTTTGGTTCTGATGGCTTGCTGCTTGTCGAAGGCACTCAGACATATAGGCATTGGCCTTCATTTGATGTGTTGCCTGTTGCAGTTTTAGTCAAAGATGATTATGATGATAGATCTGCCTTGTATAAAAGACAAACTTCTTGTAAAAGAAAAGTTGGGTAGGGTGAATCTTACTTTCTTTTCTTTTATGTGGAGAGGCGAGTATCTCTAAAGGTGCACAAGTGTACTTGGGACATGTGAAGGTCAGGAGTCAACCTTGGGATCATTCCGCAGAGTCATCCACTTTGGTTTTTAAGACACAGTCTTTGTCTAGACTGGCTGGCCAGTGAGCTGCAGGGACCCTCTAGTCTCTGCCTGCCCTGGACTGGGGTAACAGGCTTGTATTGCCATATGGGGCTAGGAGTCAAACTGGTCTTCACTCAGCACAGAGGGAGGGGCTGCAAGCACTTTATGTCCTGAGCTATCTTTCCAGCTTCTGAGTCACACTTAGAATAGTCAAGGAACAGTTAAACCCTGGGAACCGACCATTTTCCAAGTAAGGCTTCTCTGTAACAGAGCCCTGTTCCCAAGGAGGAGCAGAGCTGTTTGCTGTTCTGCAGATGCTTTGCTTTTCCCTGCACCTCACACTTCTGTTACAGACCTTTATTGATTTCATATAAGAACAGATTTTTTTTCCTCTTCCCTTTTCTGCCATTTTTTCAAGGTTTTTGTTGTTTATGTGAGATAGATTCTCACTGTGACTCTAGCTGGCCTGGAATATAAATCAGGCTGGCCTCAAACTCACAGAGATTCACCTGCCTCTGCCTCCCAAGTGCTAGGATTAAAAGCATGTGCCACCATGCTTGGCCTGCCTTATTCTCTAGAATGAAATCAGAGAGCATGGTGGAAGGAAGCTAACAAGTGATTGTGTTTGAGAATGTTATTGATCCATGCATCCATACCACAGTTGAAAAATGCCTCCAGGGTTACAAATTGTTAGAAAATAAGACTTTGTTCTGTTTTGAACTCCTTAATTTCTTTATCTCACACTTGTTTCAGTTACTGACCTTTGGCTAGACCAAGCAGGTGCACTGGTCCTCCATCACTCTATAGGTGGTTTTTGCACCAGAAATACCTGATAAGACTCAATCTCTTCCCTCACTGCAGGCCTGGTATCAGCAGAGATAAGGGAGTGGCACTGGGGAACTGGGTGTTTCCTCCTTATCAGTCACTGCCTTAGGACCGTGGCCCTAGGTATATAAATCCATGACCAGCCCTGAGGAAATTCACTTGATAAAGCTACCATTAGTGTCATTTAATGATAGGAACTTACAAAGGTGTGACCCAGTGGGGACAAAGCCACTACCCAAAGGGAATAGCTAGACCAGACAGAGGCACTAGGAAACCTGGCTCTGACCTTTGTCCTGATTGACAGGAGCAGGAAGGGGGGGGGCATCAAGGTGACCCAGCTGTGTCCAGGAAGGAGCATCAGAGTCACCTGTAAGAGGATGTATCGCTTCTGCTTGCATGGTCCTTCCATCTGCATTTGCTCATTGCAGTCTCACAGCAAACATGATTAGGAGGAAGTTGTGGTCAGCACTAGAAAGAAGGCAACTGACTCATCAAGGAAGCAACAATCCACCCAGGGTATCCCAGCAATAGAGACATTAATGACTTGACACTGCTTGTGGTTTATGTATTTGCTCAGATAGCCAGTGGTATGGCCCTCAGTGGGAGCCTAGGCTTGTCCAGTGGCCCTGAGTCCCAGACAGCTCTATCTCCAGCTCTGTGTGTGTGTGTGTGTGTGTGTGTGTGTGTGTGTGTGTGTGTGTGTGTGTG